GAGTGTTACGGCTCCAAACAAGAGTTCATGGACCAATAGAGTGAGCAGCAGCGCAAGCAAAGTGAAAGTGAGGCTTCCACAATGTGGAAGGGGACCTGAGGGGGTTGTTGTTGCTGGTTAGGGCTGCCTGGGCTTATATCCCCAAGTAATTTCCTCCCTTTCTTGATTGTTGGCCAATGGAAGGAGTATATTTTCAATCCTCCTTCCAAATGGTGGGTTTCTGGATCCTTTTTACCTGATTGGCTTGGTAGCTCAAAACTCTTGAGTTGCCAAGTGTTTGGCCCCTGGTCCTAAGTTGGGAGAAGGCTTGTGACCATGAGTCACCTAATTTCCTCTTTCTGGTAGTTGTTTGTCTCCTGGTTTCTGTTGAACTAGCAAGCAATATCAGGATGTGGTTAAACAGTAATTTACAGTTGCTAGCTGAAACTTTGAACACAGCACCCTGACATGATTGAAGTACCTGTGTTGGCCTTTTCCCATGCTAGAGTTTCCAAGAATTTCCCTGTCGACCCAAAAGGTTTTATTCCTTCAATAGGTTAATACAATTACTACGAAGGTATTCCTACACAATAAGAAAATTTATTGAACATTTATACAAGTAGTTTAACATTTATACAGGTACAGATTTTGTTTATATAAAGTTTTTTAGGCTGACCAACCACACCATGGACAGCATTGGTAATCTCTGTGACCTGCACATACACTCCAGATGAGTTTCTGGAACTAGAAAGTCTGAAGTAACTGGAAAACCACAAAGAGAAGAATGATCAACCCCTGTGACACCTAATTAACTTTGAGACATTCTTCTATTGTTCCTTATTCCCACCTCAACTGGTAAGACAACTGGACTTTGTAACCAACCTTGGTCAACCTTGTGACTCTGGACCACATGACCCCCTCCTAGATTGCAAAAACTGCCCTGAACTGTAACTTCTATAACTTTCCACTGCCTAACACAAACCTACAATACCAACTCCTATTCCATTGCCCTTCACGGACTCTCTTTTCAGACTCACCCTGCCTGCACGCAGGTGAATAAACAGCCATGTTGCTCACACAAAGCCTGTTTATGGGGTCTCTTCATTCAGAGTGTGAACTTAACATTTGGTGCAAAAACCCAGGGCAGGGGTACTCCTTTGGGAGACTGCCCCCCCGTCCCTGCTCTCCCTTTGTGAAGAGACCTACCTGCAACTGCAGGGCATCAGAACAAATAACTCTCCTACCACCTTCATATTGCATAAGCAGTCCCTCTCTCACACACACACTCTCTCTCTTTTCCTTTAAATCCCAAGGAAAGGCCAAGTACAGTGGCTCACCTCTGTAATCCCAGCACTTTGGGAGGCCAAGGCAGGTGGATCACCTGAGCTCAGGAGTTCGAGACGCCTGACCAAAATGATTGAAACCCCATCTCTACTAAAAATACAACAAATTAGCTGGGTATGCTGGTGGGCACCTGTAATCCCAGCTACTCAGGAGGCTGAGGCAGTAGAATCACTTGAACCTGGGAGGCAGAGGTTGCAGTGAGCTAAGATCATGGCATTGCAATCCAGCCTGGACAACAAGAGTGAAACTCCATGACAAATAAATAAATAAATACATACAAATAAATCTCAAGGAGACAAATCTCCCTCTCTCTCTCCCTTTTCCTTTAAATCCCAAGAAGACAAGCCTCAGAGACAAGTCTCCCTCTTTCTCTCTCTTTGCCTTTAAATCCCAAGGAGACAAGTCTTCCTCTCTCTCTTTTCCTTTAAATCCTTCTTCTAGGTAGAGAAAAGGAGACAAGTCTCTCCCCTGTCTTTCTTTTCCTTTAAATATTTCTCCTTCTAAGTAGAAGACAAAGGAGACACTCTTTATCCATGTAGAGACAGAGGAGTTTCTTCCTTTGCTCAAAAACTCCAAAGTTGGTCACAAACTTGGGAAGACAGCCTTCCCTTGGTGTCTGGCCAATCACGGAATGCCTGCCTTGATCACTCATTCACAATACAGCCCAGGACTCAGTCAGGGATGCCTACTGAAAACCCTGGTAGCTGCTTACTCCTTCTCCTCGTGTCATCTCTGCTCCTTTCCTTAAACTTATCTCCTTCCCTGTGAGCAATATTCCACCCTCTATTCCTCATTTTTTGCCTCTAGCCTGCATCCTAAAAAACTTAAACCTCTTCAACGGTCACTTGATCTAAAACCTAAATGTCTCATTTTTTTCAGTAACATGGCCTGATCTCAATACAAATTATACAATGGCTCCAAATGGCCAGAAAATGACACTTTCAATTTTTCTATTCTGCGAGTCCTAAACAATTTTTGTCAACAAATGGGCAAATGGTCTGAGATGCCCAATGTTCAGGCATTGTTTTACACTCCAATCGCTCCCTTATCTCTGCTCTTGATGCAAAACATCCCAAATTTTCTTTCTTTCCTTTCCATCTGCCCCTCCTGCCTCCATCAGTAACTCAAAATCCTCCTTGTCCATCAACCCTTCTGACCTTTCTCCTCCCTGCCTGTCTGAACCAGACCCCAATCCAGGCCCAAACCTGTCCTCAGAGCCTCCTTCCTCTTCCTCCACCCACAACCCACCTCCTTATGTCTCTCCTGTCCCCTCTCCACCTCATACCTGGTCCAGCTTACAGTTTAGTCCCACAGCTAACTCCTCTGCCCCTGCCCAACAATTCCCCCTTCAAGAAGTGGCTGGAGCTGAAGGCATAGTTAGGGTTCACATTCCTTTATCTTTATCTGACCTTCCCCAAATAGGCCAACGGTTAGACTCCTTTTCATCAGATCTTACTAAATATGTACAAGAGTTTTGATACTTAACCCAGTCCTATAACATCACCTGGAGTGACTTAAATGTCATCCTTACTTCTATTCTCACCCCTGAAGAACGCTTAATATGCCTTGTATCACCCAATCAGCCCCTGACGTTACAAAAAGCTACAGAAATTAGAATCTGGCCTTCAAACCCCACAAAAGGACTTAACCTCACCTTCAAGGTGTTCAATAATGGAAGAAGCTGCTCAGCGGCAGCGCATCTCAGAACTGCAGATGCTTGCCTCTGTCCTGAGACAAACTCCAGCCATACCACCAGCTCGCAAAAACTTCAAAGCACCCAGACTGCAGCATCCAGCCACTCCTCGCAGACCTTACTTCCAGTGTTGGAAACCTGGCCACTGGGCCAAGGAATGCCCACAGCCTGGTATTCCTCCTAAGCCCTGCCCTGTCTTTGCAGGACCCCCCACTGAAAATTGGACTGTATGACTCATGTCGCTGCTCCCAGAGCTCCTAAAGCTCCAACCCAAAGCTCCCAGACCGAATCCTTCCCAGATCTCCTCGGCTGGGTGGCTGAAGACCTAACAGTGCCCAAACATTTTGGAAGTCCCCTGGACCATAATGGATGCTGAGCTTCAGGAGACTCTTATGGTGGAGGGTAAGTCCAGCCCCATTTTAATCAATATGAGGATCACCCACTCCACGCTCTCTTCTTTTCAAGGACCTGTCTCCTTGGCCTCCATGACTGTGGTTGGAATTGACAACAAAGCTTCCAGGCCTCTCAAAACTCTCCAAGTCTTGTGGCAATTAGGCAAGCACTCCTTTCCACATTCTTTCCTAATCATCCCCACTTATCCAGTTCCCCTGTTAGGCCAAGATATCCTAACAAAATTGTCTGCCTCCTTGACTATTCCTGGGCTACAGCCACACCTCATTACCACCCTCCTCCCCAAACTCATACCTCTCTTAATAGCTCCCCTTATGTCCCCCTACCTTAACCCCAGGGTGTGAGACACCACCTCCCCATCCATTGCTACAAGTCACTCACCCCTCAGCATCCCCTTAAAACCTAAGCACGCTTATCCCACCCAGTGCCAATACCCCATCCCAGTACAAGCCTTAAAATACCTAAAACCTGTTATTACTTGCTTACTACAACATGGCCTTTTAGTTTCCACTAACTCTCCTTACAATTCCCCTATCCTACCTGCCCAAAACCAGACAAATCCCACAGACTAGTACAAGTCCTCCACCTCATCAATCAGATTGTACTTCCCATCCACCCAATTGTACCAAACCTATATACCCTCCTATCTTCCAGCAGCTGTCCTCCATAATAGCAGAGTCTTGACTTACTGACTGCTGAAAAAGGAGGTCTTTGCCTATTCCTAAATGAAGAATGTTGTTTTTATGTAAACCAGTCTGGCTGTATGTGATGGATTAAAAGACAAAGCCCAAAAGCTCACTAATAAGGCAAATGGTTATTCTGGACCTGACTGGACTGGCTGGATACTCTCTACCTGGGTGTCATGGCTTCTTCCAATCCTTAGTCTTCTGAAGCCTATCTTTCTCCTTCTCTTACTTGGACACTATGTTTTCTGATTAATATCTCAATTCCTATAAAATTGTATACAAGAGATAAGCAGTCAGTCAATATGACAAATATTCCTTATAACAACCCCATAATATCACCCCTTTCCCTGAGATCTCCCAGGAGTCTAAATTCTTTCCCATTTTTAAGTTTCCATGCTGCCCCCAATCCCGCTCGAAGAAGCCCTGTGAAACATTGCCCCATCATCCCTCTGTGCTGGCCTTCCTAATATTCCACTGCCCTCCACTCTTCACTTCTCTTTCCTTTATATTACTAATATAAAAAGACAGGAATGCGAGGTCTTTTAGGCCAACTGACAATGCCATGGACAGCATTGGTAACCTCTGTGACCTGCAGGTACACTCCAGATGACTTTCTGGAACTAGAAAGTCTGAAGTAACTGGAAAGCCACAAAAAGGAGAACGATCAACCCCTGTGGCACCTAACTGACCTTGAGACATTCTTCTATTATTCCTTATTCCCACCTCACCTGATAAGGTGACTGGACTTTGTAACCGTCCTTGGTCAACCTTGTGACTCCAGACCCTAAGACCCCCTCCCAGCTTGCAAAAACTGCCCTGAACTGTAACTTCTGTAACTTTCCACTGGCTAACACAAACCTATGAAACCAACTCCTATCCCACCGCCCTTCACTGACTCTTTTTCCACTCAGCCTGCCTGCACCCAGGTGAATAAACAGCCATGTTGCTCACAGAAAGCCTGTTTAGGGGATCGCTTCATTCAAAGCGTGTGTTTTAACAGTTTTAATTTTATCCCTTATATTTATTGAACACTTAAGTACTTGGACAAAAAATGTTTAACACTGTTGATGAAAAGAGTCAAATTCTAAAATATTTGAAGAATTTACTCTGAGCCAAATATGAGTGACCATGGCCCATGATACAGCCCTCAGGAGGTCCTGAGAACATGTGGCCAAGGTTGCTGGGGTATAGCTTGATTTTATGTATTTTAGAAATGCAATCGAATACATTTAATAAATACTTTGGTTTGGTTTAGAAAGGCAGAAAACTCAAAGCGGGGGCTCCTAGGCTATAGGTAAATTTAAACATTTACTGGTTGACAATTGGTTGAGGTTCTCTGAAGACTAGGGATTGATAGGAAGAAATGTTCAGGTTAAAGTTTAAAGATTGTGGAGGTCGAGTTTATTGTGCAGATGAAGCTTTTAGATAGCAGACATTAGAGAGAGCAGGTTGTAAATTGTTTTTATTGGACTTAAAAGATGCCTGGCTTTTAGCTGATTATCTCCTTGATCTGTGATGGAAGGAAGGAAAACAAAGGGAGAAGGGAATTCTCTATAAAATGTGGATTCTTCCTATAAGAGACTTTGCAGGGCAATTTTAAGGTATGGCGAGGAAATATATTTTGGGTTTTTTTTTTCCTTGTCTCATAATGTTATGTCAGAGTTAGATTGAAAAGTAATTCACAATACATAGTGTTAAATAAACCCCATCTGATGAGAATTTAGGGTTTGTAGGCCATGACTCCCTGGACCCTTTAAGTGGAAATTTGGGTAAGATAAAAAGAAATCAGAGCTTAGTCCTCAGTGCCCCTCTTGGCCAAAAAGCATTCCACAGAATTCATACATAGGCCAACAAAACAGCAACAGTTCTCACCACACTAGGAGGCTTATTCCTAGGTTGTTTGATTTGGTCATTTCGTGAGGTTTATGGAACTAGAAATGCTTATTCCTAGGGTAGTCCGATTGGTGGTAATAGATTCGAATATCAGCAATTTGGATAACGGGGGAGGACATGGTCTGACTTGAGTAGTAGCCCATTGTTTAAGGGGTGAGATGGAGTCAGGACTAGGGTTTAGTTTAAAAAAAAATTTCAGATCAGATCTGTTTTTTGAGCTATTATGATTCGAGTCCTTAATTGTGCCTTTTCTTCTGCTGTATTTGGCATAACATTTACAAGAACATGTTTAATGTTAATATACTAATAAATATGATAAAGATAGTGAAGGTTTGGGCATCCAAGATTACATGTAGAAGTAGAAGGCAGTAAACAACGTAATTATCCAGAAAAAAAAAAAAAAAACATACGCATTATTATATTTTTGTTAGACTTACAATGTGTTTCCCTTCTTTATTAAGAGTTATTTGGACCTTCTGATAAATCTTACTTGAGAATTGTAGGACCAACATTAAATTAGAATTTAATAAGTTTAATCTTTTTTCTAGATAATTTATCTTTATAGGTATAGCATCCTGAGGAGGGTATAAATTAAATGCAAGAATTCCCTGGTTCTTGGTGTTTAAATTGTTGTAGACTTCTTAACAGTAGATAAATCTATTTTTCTCCCCATTTTTGTATTGCTGGTATTTGGGAAAGAAAAGGTTTTGTTACAGGAGGTTATATAATTCTACAGTGTTATTTTTTTCTTGGAATGACTTCCTATTGCTGGGGGCCTAAAGAGTTAAAAGACTTATAGCCAATTAATTGTTTTAGACCAGATAGAAATCGATGTGGACAGGCATCTGTTACTTTTAAAAATTATTATTTTAAGTAAAAAGGCAGGTAGAAAAAAACAAAAACAAAAGAAAAAGCTATAAGACTGACTTATTTTAACTTTTATGTGTTGAGCTCTTGTGAGCTTGGTTTTTGTTACAGACTTATAGCAATTAGCCATACAAACATAATCATTGTTCTGAAAAATTAAATATATATAGAGAGAGATAAATTTATTTTTAAAACTCATAATTGGGAGTATTATACCTAGGAGGATTTGTTACAAGGTACTGTATCCTGTTAGTATATATTTTAATTTTATAGTAAGCAGACAATTTTTACAGTTGGGGTGGATGTAAAAGTGACACATAATAGTTTAGAAGGCAAACCAATTGTTTTACCAGCTGTTTAGGCATTTTTGTACCCCATTTTTGATTTGGAGGGTTTGATTTTGTTTTAACCTTATCCCTTAAAACTGGTCCTTACAATCTTAAGTTCCCACCTCTTTTGCAATAGTCCCTGGGCCTGGAGGGAGGCGCTTGTACAGTTTGAGCAGCAGAGCATTAGCAGTGAAACAGATCTGGGCCCAGTGGGATGCCAAATGAGAGAGATTTATGTCTCTGGTCTAGAATACCATAATTTTCGTTTTTTGGGAAGTAAAACAAAAAGAGATAAATAACATTTATAGTTTGATAGTTATAACAGTAACTTGTTTGTTACAGAAAAAGGAACCTACTCCTTCAGGGCACCAACTAAAAATATTAAGAAAAATTATAATTTGGTAATTTTTAGATGATTAGTGTAGTCAATAAATAATTTAATCTGTGCTTAAAACATGAGGGCTGAAATCTAGTATTAAGTGTTACACTTTGCCATTGAAACAATCCTTTCAGCAACCTTTTTTATTAAAGGGAATATTATAGCAAGGCCAATTTGTGGACAAGGTAAGTTTTAGGCTTATTACATTTGCCTGATTATTTGCATAAAATGCAACAAGAAATTGATTGGCCATGTAGAATTTTTTTTAAGTTGGTTTTACTGAAACTTTACCTAAAAATAGGTTATTTTAGTTTCAGTCTTGGTAAAATAACCAGTGTCTTTAATTGTTTTTTTAAAACATTATTATTGAACTTATGCAGACAACTATATTGCCATAAAACTACAATCTGAATTCTGGAGGACTCAGAAAGGTAAATCTGCTTACAAAAACACACATTACCCAAATAACTTAAAAGAAAAAGATATTTTATCCTTCTTTAGGTAGAGCAGCAGCTTTTGAAACAAGATGTGTGTTTACCTTGGAAATGCCATTTACAAACCAAACAGCTTACCAGAGCTATTGGGCACTGGAATTTAGCAGCTCTTTACAAATCAGTACAAGAGGCTTTTTGCTTATTAGGTAGCAAGATTTTATATAAGCCATTTTTATTTTATTATGGAACTTTTTGGGAAACATTACTTCCATTAATATAGGGATAGCTTTAGTTAATATCCCATAGCAAAACAGTAAATGTCTCATCAAGTAGCAAATGTCTCATCTCTAGCTCAGTCACTGTTATTAAAAAGGACTTAGTTTTTGCTATTAACCCTGATAAATGCTCAAGACACACAAAAGGCTATGTATGCAGTGGAGAATTTACATGAGGAGATTTGCATGTCTTTGGTTTTATAGTATTAGAAAGGGGAAAACATTCCCAGTTAGATATAGTACCTATTTTTATAAGTCATTTAGGTAAAAGTGGTTATAACTAACTTACACAAAGTTTGTTTAAACGTCTTACATTTTATAATTCTACTAATCTGTATGTTTTTACGTTCTTATTCTAGGAAGCCTGTTTACTCCCAGACCGTTTTATCTTTTCTGGTGAAAATGGTTTGGGTTCCCAAAAGAGGGTCCCACCTGTAAGACCTATGAGGGATAGCAGATTTGATAAGGCTTCTTAAATAGATCTATGATTCTGTGGGAGGGGCACCCATATAAAAAAGGCCCCTTTAACCCCCACATTGACCAAGACCTGGAATAATAAACATATTAGGTAGGAGAATATCCCAGTTATCATAAAGCTAGTCCAACATGGCTTGCATATGAAACTTATTAATTGCTTAATCTGGGGTACTTTACTTGGTATTTAGTAGGGAAAGTTGGGCAGTCCCCCTCTCAGGGCAAACAGACTTTCTAATGGCATTATCTGGCCTATTAGGCTGATTGCTTTTTCAGGAATAGCTCCCTGTGAAGCAGTAACTGCTCAGTAATAAGCTCTGGATCCTGCATTAATTCAAACAAGCTCTTAAATTTTGTAGGATTTAAAATTAAGAATTTTGTTTTTAAAGTGGTTATTTTTACAATCCACTAAAATTTTTGTTTTTTTTTAAGTTGAATGATACTAATTTACAAAATGGAAAAATTCCTTAACATTATACCCTTTGGTTTTTAAATAGGTACTTGATTTTTCCCTTTCCCCATACGGACTATTTTCTTGGTAACCACAGGGCTAAGCGTTTTGTTGCCCTAGATTTTTTTTTTCCATTTAGTCTTATCTGTATAATTTCCTTTATTATAAAGCAAGATTTAAACAGTTTCTTAACCAACAGCCTTACATGTTTTGAAAATTGACATCTTTATGTTTTATAAAATTTTAACAAAAGCTTATTTTAGGCTTTTACTATTTTAACTTTTTAGTAATCCAAATTTCCAGTGAGGGGGAAAATTCTGAGGATTTTAACATGACATTAAGAATTTTAAATTGCTAGAAAGTTTTAAGATTAAATTTACCAAATTAATTTTTATAAAAGATTATCAAGGTGATATAAATTAAAAGGCATCTAAGCTAGCTTTTACCAATCTGATAAGCACTTACTTTTTTTAAAGTTATTTGATTAGAGCACTTTTACGTAGTTTGGAAGTGAAATATTACTTCCATATGACACATATAATGATAGAGGTATAACAGGTATGCAGAATAAAAGGCATATTTAAAAGATACTATATTTGCCTGTTTTCAAAAACAGTTTTTTTCCCTTACTTAGATAATTAGTAAAAGTTACAGGAGTCAACAAAAGGTGAAGGAGAGAGTTGTCACTTAAGGACTTTTTAAAAGATAAAGAGTGGTACTTAAGGATATCAATCCGAAGAATGTTTTAAAAAACAGATTATGGAATTTAAAAATTTTTAAACTTTTTGCAATAAAAATAAGTCAATATTTGTAATAAAATCTTGTTTTAACCAATTATGGGTTTGTATTAGTGTATATTTTTTCAGTATTAAATGCAATGCCAATTTT